ATCGAGCACTCTCACGAAGATACAAGCAAGCACTAATACATATACATACATACATACATACATACATACATACATACATACATACATATATATATATATATATATATATATATATATATATACATATATATATATATATATATATATATATATATATATATATATATATATATATATATATATATATATATATATATATATATATATATATATATGCACAGTGGTTAGAGTTCTATTTCAAGAACCAAGAGGAACATGGCTTGACGCTGGCTTTTATATATGTTTGCCATTGCTCAGTCCTTTTAAATTTTTAACTTTAACTTGTCTCTCAGCGCAGCGGCCTTGTTTGTCAAGGTTCGTGTTTCGGAGTTATAGAGTTGAGAGAGGGTTATAACCACAAGTAGCCTCCTCATCTGTAGTGGCCTTCTTGGTCTTGGGGAGATAAATTACAAAAAAAAAAAAAAAAAAAAAACACATTGTGTTTTTTGTTTTTTTAATTTAGAAAACTGGTAAAAGTTTAAATTGATAGATTGCCTGCCCAAACCAAAAACCCTCAGGCAATGTAGTAGCACACCTTGCATTTTTTTTACTTATTTGCGTCAGTCTATGTATTCACACTCCTTGCATGTTCAACCTATATAAGTCAGTCGATGTATAAACACTCCTTGCATATTCTATCTATTTAAGTCAGTCAATGTATGTACACGCTACTGTGATAATCCTTAAATAAATCTGTCAATAAATGAAAAAAAATTAGAAGCAACAAAAATAATAAAAACAGTAAAAAAGTATAAATATTCTGAGCTAAAAAACAAACAATATTCTAGTCTACTAAACTTCTACCCCTTAAAACATAAGTTAATGTATATACTGAAAATTTTAAAAATGATATTTTTTGCTGACTCAAATCCATTTGATTTAAAAAAAAAAAAAAAAAAAAAAAACGAAGATTAAAAAAAATGATTGTTGCCCCAACCCAAGCCTTTAGTTGATATAACCAAATAAAAAAACTCGACATGAATAAACATAAGAATATTGAAACTAAGTACTATTTTTAAACTTTTTTTTCATAACAACTTACTTCAAAAACATCTGGAACTCGGTGTTGCTTTAAATACAGTAGCATATTTTCACTAAGATTAGCTCCTATTGACATTATAAGCTATATGAAAAACTAAAAACTAAACTTTCACTTTTTTTAAAATCTACTTTATAATTAGAACGAATCTATGAAAAATGTTTTGATAATTATATCAATCAGTAAAAAATTAATTGCGTGTAACCTCAAAGAGCTTTAAATGTATCTTTAAAATTTTAAAATTTTAAAATACATCTTCAATAATAATAATAATAATATCAAATAATAATAATAATAATAATAATAATAATAATAATATTACAATTAATAAAAATTTAATTAATAAAATGATGCTTGCGATGGAATTCAATTACATCTATCACTAAAAAAAAGTCTTTATTTTTCAACTATCTATTCTAGAAAAATTAGAAAAGATTAAAAAACAAGTTCCTGCCATTTTTTTACTTAAGGTGAGAATATACATTTGTTTTATTAACTACCATTTATAACCTTGAATCTATCACTTTTGTGATTCAATTTTTTACAAAATTAAAAAACAAATTTCAGTCACAGAATAATTTAAAATATTTAAGATTAATTACAATTATATTCTTATTAAAAATAGACATATCAAAAATATATTCCTAAAGAAACAATATATTTGTGACTTTGTAAGTATTTAGGCTTTAGACTACTACTTCTATTTTGTTTAAACTATTTTATAAAATTTTATTCAAGCCATCCTACTTTTGAAATAGTGGTCTAAAAATATAATAATTTATCTTGATACTTAAGGTAAAAAAGAAAATTATAACATCAGTATTGATAAATCAACTTGTTTCTCTGCGTAGCAGCCTTGTTCGTCAAGGTTCGTGTTTCAGAGTTATAGAGATAAGAGAGATTTATAACCACAAATAAGTAGCCTCCTTGTCTGTAGTGGCCTTGTAGGAGAAAAACACAAAAAAATTATAAATTTATAATTTGCATATATTAGTAATAACAATAAGGAAAAAAAAAATGAATTCGTTATTCCATAAAATGTATACAAATATTTAACATGCTACAAATTATTTGTTTTTATAAAACAAAAATGAAAAGTTCAAACTGATGGAAAAAAAAGTCTTTAGAACTAAATAAAAATTTATACTTAACATGAAATAAAAAAATTTATTGAATAACATTAATTAGCGATCTGTCTTTCTAATATTTAAAAAGTTGAATTTTCTTTTCTTAAAGAAAAGCTAATAAAAATAATTGAGCAAAATAATTAAACAAAATAATTTAAGAAAAATTTAAAACTTTTTTATGACTTAATAATTTTATTTATAACCATCATAAAGATTTTGTATAAAACTTAAATAACCATGATACTACTTTGATAAGCTGTCAATTTTTGCATGAATTTTTTCAACTTGTGATATCATATTGTTTAGAGATTCGTTGTTAACTTCAAACTCCAACTCCTCTTCAGTTCCATTACACTTTGTTAATCCTAATTGAAAAACTGCTTTGGAATTGTCTATTTCTTTATTTTTCTTATAACCAAGATCAATTTGCCATTTAAGCATTCGAAATTTATCTTCCCATTTTGTTTTTGACAATAGTGTTGCTTGAACTTTGTCTTTGTTACTTTTCCAATACTTTAGAATCGCCGTCATTTGATCCTCAGTTAAATTCTCTTTATTTCTTGTCATTTGAGATTTCAAAAAAGCTTCAAGTTGTTTCAAGTCCATGTTAGAGTATGAAATATTTTGTAACCATGTTTTGCATTTTGATAATAGAGCCTGAAACTCTTCTTGGGTTATCTCAGGATATAGCTGCTCTTTTAGAAATTCATCTGTTATCTCAGCATCTTCAAATATAATTTGTCTTGTGATACCATTAAAAAGTGCAGCAAAATTTTTCGCACTCATGGTTTTAATACAAGTAAATAGTAAACATTTAAATCTAAAACTAACAAAACATTATAAAAAAAAATCTTTAACAGTTTTAATTATTGAAAACAATTTAAATAACATATTATCAATAATTTTTATATAATTTAACAACCAATCAAATCGACAATAAATCAAACAAACAACAAAAACAAAGAGCGTAGGCAGATTTAGAAAATAGTTATAGCTGACATTTGAAATTTAAATTTTGATAATTTGATAATTCAGATAAAAATAGTTTTTTAAGGTGGTACACCAAGAAGAAAAATGACAAAAAAAAATTTTTAATTTTATGAAAGATTGACCCTTTAAGTTGACTTTTTAAAAAAACTTTCACCATTCGTGTTTAAGTATTTAGCTTAACTTAGACCTACTTGAGCTCCACTATCATATAAAACTCCCTAGCAACCTCATAGCAACAAGTTTTCTACTTGTTTTGGAAGTGATTTTGGACTTTTCTTTTTAATAGCAATTTTGAGATGAAAGCATAAAGTCATCAAGAAAGAATTGCTCTTGTTTTTCCTGGTCTAAACTGCATTAATAGAAGTCACAAACCTTATTTAACAGTTTTAACACTTTAAAATGATCTATTCTTTTTTATTTCTTGTTTTTTTTTTTTTTTTTTTGCATTAATATTTTTTTAGGGTTTTTAAAATTCAAAACATGATAACTTAAAGTTTATGTTTATGAGCTGAAATTTTCAGGAAATGTTTAATATTGATGCTCCGGTTGACCCATGAGTTTTTCTTGGATTTGGTTAAATAAAAAGTTATTCTATAAATCTATAGAGGAAGTCAAAAATTTTCAATTTATCCAGTAAATTTGTGATAAAAAGAGTAATTTTCAAAAAATTTAAAAACGCATGGGTTAAATAGTGTATAATAAGTTGTTTTATAACTCCATCAATTTTCAATCCATAATCTTTTCACTAGATCAAGATATTATGTTTTGAAATACAGCCTTTGTTGTTCTTTTTTCTGCCATTATGGATTTTAAATAAGTTTTAAAACTTATCTTTTTAAGTAAAAATAATTAAAACACTTTATTAAAACAAGTTTTCATCAAAAAGATACATTTTATATAATATTTCACAGTTTCATTTTTTCCCTGGCCTACCATCTTAAATAAGTTTTAAAAATGAAGATGGACAAACTTCCATTTTTGCTAATTTAAAAAATTTTTTTTTTTTTTTTTACCGATTGTTCATTTTATTCAATAAAGATTCTTATTTATTGAAATAAGCTTCTATTGTATTTTTTTAATACTTAAAAAATAATCAAAAACAAATGTAATTATGTAGTGACTTAAAAATCAATTTTAGTTAAACCCTTCGAAACAATATTATTTTTAACAAACTTATTAAATATACTTATTAAATACCAAACTCAAAAACATCTTTATTAAATATCAATTTAATAATCTAACAGTTGAAGTTTAATATGTTAAAGTGCAAGAAAATGCATTTCGAAAAAACAATTTTAAAACATAAACTTAAAATCTAATAAATATAAAAATCACAATCAATAAAAATCTATAAGAATTGAAAAAAAGTTAAATTAAAATAAATTTTAGAATTTTTATCTCCAACAAGTTGGATTCATCATCAAAAAACTATGGGCTATAAAATCAATCTAAGCAAAGTCAAAATACAACTAGGCAATGCTCAACATTTATTTTAGGACAACAACAATAAATTATATATATATATATATATATATACATATATATATATATATATATATATATATATATATATATATATATATATATATATATATATATATATATATATACATATATATATATATATATATATATATATATATATATATACATATATATATATACATATATATATATATATATATACATACATATATATATATACATATATATATACATATATATATATATATACATATATATATATATATACATACATATATATATATACATATATATATACATATATATATATATATATATATATATATATATATATATATATATATACATATATATATATATATATATATACATATATATATATATATATATATATATATATATATACATATATATATACATATATATATATACATATATACATATATATATATATATATATATATATATATATATATATATATATATATATATATATATATATATATATATATATATATATATATATATATATATATATATATACATATATATATAAACTTTTATATGTATATATACAGTCTTGGAAAAAAGTTTAAGACCACTTGCGAAAAACTGAAAATTTGATGAAAAAATTATTACAGTACAAAAAAATTGGTTCAAAAATAAAAAATAAATGCATTAAAATAATGTCCACAGCAGCTAAAATCAAAAGTAGCACTAAGTTATAGCATTTTATTTTAGGTACCAAAGTATAGCATTTATAAGTGGTGGTCTTCAACTTTTTTCTAAGACTGTATGTATGTATATATATATATACATATATATACATATATATGTATATATATATATATATATATATATATTTATATATATATATATATATATATATATATATATATATATATATATATATATATATATATATATATATATATATATATATATATATATAGACACACACACATACACGCAACACATTCATAATTTAAATAGATTTTTTTCTTTGATATATAATATATTTATTCTGTAAGATGTTAAAAGTTGTTGAAAAAATAAAGATGTTTAAATATGACATTACAATAAAACAAAGTATATGAAATAGCAGTAATAAATAAAAAATAAATATAAAAAAAAATACTAGTCGATATAGAAATAAAAAAATCTCTTTGCAAAAAAAAAAAAAAAAAAAAAACTTGATATTTAAAAAGATTTAAAATTTTTGAATTTATTTTTAATATTCATTGCAAATAAATAACTTATTTCAATATTTCATTTTATTATTTTGTTTTATTTCATTTTTTTTTACTTTTTAAAATTATAAAACATCCTTTTATCATTCAATCTCCCCCAATATATCACAAATTTCTTTTAAACGCTGCTGAGACTTTGGAACACCTGCTAACTGTGTCATTAATTTTTCTTTCTCCTCTTGTAAACTCAAACGAGCATTTGTATCCATTTCTTCAATGTGCCAACCTCCTTGGCCGTCAAACTGCAATAAATGAGTATGAAATTTCCTAAACAAAGAAATAAACAATTTTTTTGAAAATATGTAAAAGTTCTGAAAAACAATATAGAGATAAGTACATATTAAATTTAAATAATCAGAAATAATATTTCTACTGTTAATTATAAAAATTATAAGTATAGTAATTATTATTAAAAAATATAATAATAAAGTTATTTTAGTAAATTAATAAGCAGTTGTTTAAACATTTATATAAACAATAATATATAAAAAAATTATTATCACATCTAACACATCAAATTTTAAAAAATTAATCAAATCTAAAAAACATCTTGTTAAAAAAATATAAAAGTTGAAAGATAAAAAATACATTTTTGCTGAACTTGAGGCTAAAAAGAAGCAATTTTTTGAAGATGTTAACCAGAAAGAAATAAAAATTTTTGAATCTAAAGACAATGTACAGGGAAAAAAGGCCTTGCTTCTGTATAAAGAAAGTAAAAGTACATAAACAAAAACACTTAATATTAGTTTACTAAAAGGAACTTTTTTCCGGAGTAAAATATTTTAACATCCTGAACACAATGTTTAGTGTATAAATTTATAAGGTATAGCAAGTTCTCTGAACTAAGAACATATTGATGCATCACAATTGACAGTAGTAGGAGTGATGTCTCCTAAACCTAATAAATCACTTAAAAGATCACAAAATAAATGTTGAGAAATGCTTTTTTGCAATGTTCCATGGCAAAAGTCTTTGTGATGGAATAAAAAGAACTATAAAAAGAGAAGCAGCAAAAACAAGCAAAAATAATTTTAACTTAGTAAAAAAAGATTCATCAAATATTCAACCTTGTAAATAAATTGCATACTTTATAAATTATAATTGGTACATGATCTATGACAAAAACCAAGATGTTATTTTAAGTTCATGCCAAGAAACTATAAAAAATAAAATTTAAAGTGAAATAATGGTGCATAATCAAGCCTGTGTTGGGTTCCGTTTGAGATTTTTCAAATAAATATTTCACCCATTAAGAGAAGAAAAGCTTGTGAATACAAACTCTCTAAGAATGATAACAATACTATTATTTAAGTCAGTTATTTAACCAACTTAGAGTATTTTGTGTTTCATATGTACAAACACCTCTTTTTTCTGCTCAATTTTTTATGAGTTTTTATAATTATCACTTTTTTGTAATATAATATAACGTGTCGTAGTAGTTTTGACAGGCTATTACATGTGCTTAATTAAAATTTCAAAACTGCCTGTTATAATTGCATAAATTATGCTAGTGAAAAATTTAACATAAATAAGCAACTTAAAGGAAAATAACTCTGTATGAAATCAATAACAATTTAAAAAATGATTGAGTCAAAAATTATTACTTAACCAACTTTTAGGTTTTATTATCAATTATGGTTCTTCAAAAATCACAAAAATCTACTGTAAGTTCTGGACACCCATAGACACAAAAAAGTGGTACCCATAGACACAAAAAATCTTTTCACACAGATTTTACATGGAATGACCCAACAAACATGGAATGTAAACATGGAATGACCCAACGTACATATTTAATCTTAGAAACCTTATAAAAACTGTAATTTTTAGTTTTAAAGTTAAACAAAAAAAGTAATACAGATAGCAAAAAAATATTGCTAAAAAAAGTTTTTCAAAAATTAACCAAAAATTATGTTTTTTGCCACTTCTTTTAGAAAGAACCAGGAAACAAAAGTGCAGTTTAATGCTAATATAAAGTTAACTGATTCTACTGACTAACAAAATTTTGATTCTATTGACTAGTAGACTTCTGAATCTACTGACTAGCAAACTTTTGATTCTGCTGACTAACAAACTTTTGATTTTACTGACTAGCAAACTTCTGATTCTATTGAACAACAAACTTCTGATTTTACTGACTAGCAAGCTTAAAATTCTACTGACTAGCAAACTTATGATTCTACTGACTAGCAATGTTTAACCTTATAAAGGGACTAGCAATATATTGAGTGACAGTTACTGAAAAAACCTTCTTTTAAAGTTGATTTCAAATTTATGTATTTATGCATATACAATCTACAAATGTTTTTGAGAATACAAACTATGATTTACTGCTTAATTACTTAAAAATCTTTTAACACTTTAAATCTTAATCACTTATTCTTGTTTATCAATGAAGGTTAAAAATATAGAAAAAATATTAGCATATAAAATATCAAACTTTTGGACAGAAAAAATGAAACCTTAGTATAACTTGCATAGCATGTGGTGTGGCATGGCATGTGCACACTTGATACAAAGGGTTGTCAACTAGACATGAACAATGTCATCAGTGGATAAAAATTATTTAAAAATGCCTCACATGATTTAGTAGAGGATTTATATTTTGGTAAAAAAGAACTTAACCGAAACTTTATTAACAATTAAAAGAGTTAGGATTTAGGAATTTAAAAAACTCTAATTTCTAATTATAGCATGAAAATACCAGGAATAGTTATTCAAGCACCATAAACAAGAATAAAAATATAAAAAACTACTAATGAAAAATGAAAGAATTGTTCAATACAAATTAATGAAAATTTACCACAAAGATACAAAGAACAATATAATTCTAATGTCACGATTATACAAATTCAAACTAATAAAAATTTACAAATACAAATTAATGAAACTATACAAATACAAATTAATGAAAATTTACCACAAAGATGGTCTGTGAGTTATTGTTAGAAGGGTTATTCCTAAATCTTTAGCTGATTGATAAATCTTCCCTTCAACATCTATACTTACAGCACTTGTGCATTCATCCAGTAAAGCAAACTTTGGTCTAAAATAATAAACATAGTTTTAAATTTCTGTAAAAATAATACAATTTTTATATTCCAATATAAAACCAACCTAAATATTACTCAAACACTTAAAAATAGAAACAAATAATATATATGTGTGTGTGTGTATATATATATATATATATATATATATATATATATATATATATATATATATATATATATATATATATATATATATATATATATATATTAGGGTGTTCCAAAAAAATGACTTATTTGAATTTCAACTAACATTGCTTTTCATAAGGTGCCCCAACCTTGATATTACTAATAATTTTTTTCTTTTTTCATGATTAGATCACTCCATGACTTCCCTCAATGGGTCCAAAGGTCATTTTTTGCCTGTTTTTTGCCCATATTTCGTACTAATTGAGGGGAGTGTTACCATTATCCAAATTAATTTTTCTTTCTTTTTTTTTGTTATTTTATCTTTTTGAAGAAAATAAAAATATAATGTTAAGCTTAATTTGTTTTTTTATTTGAACAATGAAGATCAAAAAATTCAAAAACATTGATTTATTTTACTATATTTCACTACCTTTTACTACCTTTGTCCTATGTACCATTTTAATGTGTTTTCTGTTATATTTTAAATACGCGTATAATTGTTTCATTTTGTGAACAATTATATTTTACCTTGTGTATGCAATTTGATTTTTAACTTATTTTATATTTTTGGTTACCATTTATCTTTTTAGTAACTAATTAACTTAAAAAAAAGTTATTTTATAGTAAAATGCCACCAAAAAAGAAGTTGAAGCTTACTCGAAATAAGGCTGAAATATTTCTAGTAAAGAAAGTTAGAGAAAATCTTTCATGTTATAAACTTCCTACTGGCATAGAGGTTTTGCAATACTACCTATATTTAAGAAACTTGAATCCCAAAGTAAAGAAAACGGTTTTAATTAGGTGTCATTTCGAAATTAATTCATTTGAGCTCAGATGCCCTCCACAAGCTGACTGTTGTGTAATGTCTAAATTGGTACGGCCATGGAATCTTGCAGGGTTCCCTATCATAACCTTGGAAAATATCAGGTAAATTATGAATTCAAAATTTATCAACAAATTTATTTTTATCTTTATTTTAAACATTGAATAAATTTTGCATTTTAAAGAAAGAAGATTGATAAAATGGTGAACAACTATTACAAGTTAAAGAAGAATAGCAAAAGGAACAGCCCAACAGATACGAAAAGGAATGAGGCATTTTTTGAAGAAATGTTAAAATGCTTTTAGATTAGTAAAAAAAAAAGAAGAACTAATTGAAGATATTATAAAAGACAGGAGAAGGACATCCGAAGCCAAAAATGAAGATATTGTGTTTATCTTAGACCAAATTGGAAATAGGATAGGAAGAATAGGAACAAATGATAAAAGGTTTATGTACACTATTAAGAGATCCCACAAAAAATTGTGTTCCATGTTAAACATGGAGATTAAAGTAAACAATGGTAACAATCTATACAGTTTAGAAAACTCTTCAAGTAGTGATAATAATTCTGACTGTGAATATGTAGCAGATATAAAAAAAGAACAATCTACCTCTGTTGTTTTGTTACCAAAAAATATTTAAAAAAAAACAGCTCTCACAGCAATAGGTGAAGGACTTTCAGTTAGACAACACACTGCAATAGTGGCAAGTGTTATTGCTAATTCAGGAGGTGATGTTACTAATTTTGCAATATCTTCTTCAACCGCGTTTAGAGTTGCAGAAGAAGTTGTAACTAAAGAGGGAGAAAAGATTAAAAAGCACGTTACTGATCTTGTTAAATCTTCATCATTACCAATTATTCTCCATTTTGATGGAAAAATAGTTAAGGAGTTCACAAGCGGAATAGAACATCAACTTGACAGACTTGCTGTTTCCATCAGGATAGATGGACAGAGTGAGCTTCTTGGGGTTCCTCATTTGAGCTCTAGTACTGGAGAAACACAGAAGAATACAATCATAAAACTTCTTCATCAATTTGATATTTTTGATAAATTACAAGGATGCGTTTTTGATACAACTTCTGTAAATACTGGTAATAAAAAGGGTGTGTGCATTAGATTAGCTGCAGAGCTTGATAGACCACTACTTCTCCTAGCATGTAGGCATCACATCTATGAAAGGCATATTATTCACTGCTGGAACATTTATCCAAGCAGTAGAATAAATGGTCCAGATAATCCATTGTTTAAGAAGCTTAAAGATGTATGGAACTCAATTGATCAAAATTCCATTGTGTTAAACAAAGTAAAAATTGAAGATATTTCTGATAGCTGGCTGCAGGTACAGTTCAAAGAAGCCTTATCTTTTTCTCAAAATATATCAGAATGAAAACAATGAAAAAGGTATTTAAAATTTTGAATAAAGTGAATACTCTATAATAAAATAAGTTTAGTAAGGTACTGTTTTGTGTCTAAATAAATAATCTTATTTAGGATGGATGTAGGTCTGATTATCTAGAGTTAGTGGAATTGACAACAATGGTTTTATCTGGTGATGAACAGTACAGGCTAAGAAAACCTGGGCCTGTACACCATGCCAGATTTATGGCAAAGGGAATATACTTTCTGAAAATGTATCTCCTTCTAAACAACATTTCTAGCTTGACAGATTTTGAGAAGAAAGAAATAAATGATATGGCATTCTTCACAGCTGTATTTTACACTGAGTGGTTTATAAAGGCTGAAATTCCAGCTGTCGCTCCATATCAGGTGACATTTCTATGTTTTAAAAGTTTTTAATCATTTTGCTTTTTATTACTTTTTTTTCTTTGAAAATTTTGTGTAATATTTCATAGTCTAAAAATCTTTAGGATATGAAAGCTCTTTGGCAGATGATGAGATACTCAAAAATCAATCCTGTCCAGGCAAAACCTGTTATAGAGTCTCTAAAGAGACACACCTGGTACATAGACCCAAATATTTTAGTTATGTCTCTTGTTGACAAAAATGTACAAGAACGGAGTGACATTGCCAAGAAGTTGTACTCAAACCCAAGACCTACAACTTATGCCATAGAAAGACATCAAGTTAATTTAAATATACTGAACTCCCTTATGTTTAATGATGATACTCCCCCAAGTTTGACCCCGCTTATAACTGACCAGAGTTGGTTAATTTTTCATATCTTAAACCATGCAAATGCTGAAGTACAGTGGCTTAAGACTCCATCTGAGACATGGGATCTAAATAACTATTACTTAGAATTCAAACAATTTGTGAATAATCTTGAAGTAGTAAATGACTGTAGTGAGAGGGCTATAAAACTAGTTCAGGTAACTATTTTATATGTTTGGTCCTTATGTTTATGTTAAAATCTTAATTTATTTTACAAGCTCATTACTTTTAAATATTCTTTAATAGGAGTTGATCAATAAATCGCATAATGAGGATAAAAGACAAAGTACCTTCCTCGTATCAAACAAATATAAGAGTGAAAGAACAATTTTAAAAAAATGTGATTATGTAAAGAATTCTTTGTTTACAAAATAAATTTATAAACATGAACTATGTTTGACAACTAATTTCTTCAGAAACTAATCATAAATATGATTTTATTATGTAAATATAAATATTTTAATACGTAAAGTATTTTGTTAATAAGCAGAACACTAATATAGTGCAAAAAAGCTTAAAAATGCCTTTTTTTAAATTTTTTGGTCTTCATTGTTTAAGAAAAAAAAAAAAATTAAGCTTAACATTATATTTTTATTTCCTTCAAAAATATAAAACAACAAAAAAAAAAGAAAGAAAAATTAATTTGGATAATGGTAACACTCCCCTCAGCTAGTCCGAAATATAGGCAAAAAACGGGCAAAAAATGACCTTTGGGCTCATTGAGGGAAGTCATGGAGTGATCTAATCATGAAAAAAAAAAAAAATTATTAGTAATATCAAGGTTGGGGCACCTTATGAAAAGCAATGTTAGTTGAAATTCAAAAAAGTCATTTTTTTGGAACACCCTAATATATATATATATATATATATATATATATATATATATATATATATATATATATATATATATATATATATATATATATATATATATATATATATATATAATATATATATATATATATATATATATATATATATATATATACATATATATATATATATATATATATATATATATATATATATATATATATATATATATATATATATATACATATACATATATATATATATATATATATATATATATATATATATATATATATATATATATATATATATATATATACTTATAAATATAGTTCAGCTCCATTAAAATATTTATTAGTGTAATGGTGTAAATTAAATGTATAGCATTGAATTAAGAAAAATTGCTTTAACTTGAACTATTATTTCTTATCAGCTAAAGTTTAACATAATATTAAAATTTGCTTTAGTCGATATATATAATAATTGTTAAGTCATTTCCATCGAGAGGTTCCGAGTTCGATCCTCACCAGTATTCCCTGGTAGTACCGTGCTCAACTTGTTTGTCCGCGCAGAGTCCTAGGGTCAGCCTAACTGCTGACTCAAAAGTGTTTGAGACCGACGCAGAGGTCGGTCTTAAACACTTCTGAGTCAGCAGTTAGGCTGACCCTAATTCTGAGGGCTAAAGTAGCCTCCTTGTCTGTAGTAAAGGGGTCCAAAATTACCTTTTTTTGGATTCTTTATAGTTTAACCACTTTTTCTTAATGAATTTTTTATGCAGATTTCAAATTACTAAATACTTTTTTTTCATTATAAACACTTGGCCTTCTACTTCAATTTTAATAAAAGTGATTATTTTGATAAAACAATCAATTATTAAATTAAATGAATTTAATAATTATTAAAGTAGAATCTGTGGTAAAAAATTTTCTTTTTGTTTTATCAATAAAATACATTATGTGTAGTTATAAATTTATTGTAGTTATATATTTATAGTTGTATATTAAATTAAATGAATTTAATAATTATTAAAGTAGAATCTGTGGTAAACATTTTTCTTTTTGTTGTATCAATAAAATACGTAACTATTATGTGTAGTTATAAATAGAACAAAAAATTTGGCATTATACATGAAATTACTCCATATAAGGAAAAATTTGTAACAATTACTAGTGAAAATGAGAAATAACTTAATTGCAATCATGGTACAGTGATTTGAATTTTTTCTCAGAATCAAGAAGTCTGAGGTTCGATGTTGGCTTTGACCAGGTAAGCGACATTGGTAAAGAAGGATGTGAAAATATCCTAGCTAAATTGCACTTCCATGGTGCTTTGTGATAAGACACTTAGTTTTTCTTGGATAATTAATAACAAAAAATAAAAGTCTTCATAGGTGATTGCGGATTTTGTGAGGACTTTCCAAGTTAAGTAGAAACTTTAAATTATTAGCTTATTTTTCTGTAGACATAAGACGATGTTTTTTTGTATTTTTTTCAATAATTTAATTTTTTTGTAATTGCCAGTATTTCTGAAGCTGATTGCAATGAGTGCCACGATGACACGTTCAATCTTATTTGTAAGTGTTTTATAAATTGCAAAAACCCAATTAAAAATGCAATACATCAGTTATTCCATTATTGTATCTTTTTTTCCAAACCCATAATACTTTCTTATTTTCTGTTCAAGAAATATTACTAAATTTTTCTAAACTATTTGCAAGAATGATACAATCATCCAAGTTTTTGATGCGTATATACGAACTGCTCCTAAGACTACTGAGCAGTCAACCTTATTTAATAAAAATTTCCAAAATATAATTTATTGTTGTCTTTATTAAAGACAAGTACAAATGCAACCCTGAGTATAAATAAAGGCAATTTTGTATGATAAAATTTGTCTATTACTGGGAGATTTCTAAAGAAGTTTATTACTTTTGATTTATTTGTTCACTAGTTTATGATTTATTTATTTATTAGTTTGTTACTTCTTGTTGCAATATTTTTCATTTTAATCGGTACCTAAATTCAGTTTGCAAAATTAATAGCAAATTATCAAAATAACTTTTTACACAAGATATTTTTTTATGTAAGACTTAATGTTGTTTAAACGCAACTTTCATTCATTTTAATTCAAAGTTATCCAATCAAAATTTAAATTGCATAAATTTTATTATAAATTTGCATAACTTTACACGCAAAGAAAATGCTGCAAAGATATATAGTTTTTAAGTTTTTTAATATTTTTAAAATGCTAAAAATTGAAGTACGTCAACCACATTAAAATAGCAAAAACTAAATTGTTTATTAAAATTTTCTGAAAAAATTTATTAAGAATATTTGGTTAAATAAAAAACATAGAATTTTGGACCCGCACCTATCTGCAGTGGCATTCTCAGCCTCAAGGAAGTGAATTAACACCAAAAAAATAAAAAAATAAAACCATTTTTCTTGGTCTATTGGAAGTTCGAGTTATCAGAAATTAGCCATACATTAAAAGAATAGGAATACATTAAAAAAAAGACATTTTTAGATTTGTAAGTTGTATGAAATGATATTTAACGAGAATATTTAAGATATTTTCCAAACAAAGGAATTTGGGAAGCAATCCAAAGCCAGAATAAGAGGAGGAGGGCAGTTAAAAAAAAAGATTTAAATTAGAATCAACAATAAGAATAAAGATTTTTTTTAAACATATTAAGTTACATATTAAGTTAAACTTTTTATTTTAACTGCTGTTAAAATGTTAAAATCAGAATAAGACATAAAATCTTAGCATAAGTTAGACAAAGTAAATTTTTTTTATTGTTACAGTTTTATTTCTTTTTTGTTTGTTTTTTTCAATTTTACATATTTAACAAAAGACATTTTTAAAACCAAAAAAAAACAAACAAATATTATAACAACAACATTAAAAAGAAAATCTCTCCACCTATGGTAAAACATTCTAGCCATTCCCATTCTTTGTTTTTCTCCACCAGAAAGAACATCAATCCAATCGCTGATGCTATCCCAACCTTAATTAAATAGACTTTGGTTAAAACAATTTAGCCAACAGTAAATAATGTTAAAAGTAACAAATTGTAATTATAATTAAAAAAAGAATTATCAAATATACAATTTTACATTTAAACATTTTCTTACCATTTTCTCTTGTAACAACATATTTTAAAAATACTTCGTCAAGAATGCTTTCCAAATCATCATCGGTCCAGCCTTTTGCCTTCATATCTGATACACTGTCTGGATATATAACCTGATCACGGAGTGTTCCCAGAGTCATATAAGGACTAAAAATAATAGAATTCTTATCAATAACAGCATTTACAAAAATATATTACATATTTATAAAAATATATTACGTATAATATATCTTATATTTTTAGTAATATATAATATATGTAATATATAATATATATAATATATTTAACTGTTAATGAGAACCAAAATTATAACTTATGATTTTGCAATAATAATCATAAAATTATTATAAACCCTTGCTTCATAAGCGAGAGGTTCCGAGTTCGATCCTTACCATGTCCCTGGTATTACTGCGCTCAACTTGTTTTTCTGCGCAGCGGCCTTGTTTGTGGAGTTATACAGTTAAGAGAGGGTTATAACCGCTATTAAGTAGCCTCCTCATCTGTAGTGGCCTTCTTGGCCTTGAGGAGGTTAATAACAAAAAAAAAATTATTATATTAATTTGAACATATACTCGTTTTATATACACCCACTATATCACACATACACCCACTACACTACACTTACACATAGTATATAATTCTGTCCCAAACCTACCAAACAACATACCTTAAACTAATTTAATTTATAAATAAAAAATCTTCAAGTATTTTTTTAAAATTCAATGTTATCAAGATAAAAAATGTACATATTTTATGAGTGCACTTTTCCATAAACCTTGCAGATTTTATATTATTAGAAACAGGGATGCAAAACCATTTCAAATTTTAGGGACTCCAGTGTCAAAAAATAGATACTCCTTGGACTCTTGGAAGTTTTTTTCAACTTTTTTTAACTTTTTTTTTTTTTTTTTGAGTCAATTAACCAGAGTTTTTAGGGATGAAATAGTCCCTGAATGCTGGAGCAAACTATATTAAGTTTTAATTGTAAAAAATCATAATTTATTATTGATTCCATTTTATTGCTCAAAATATTACAACTTTTTTTGTTAGGTATTTCTACTTATATACTTTAGATAACAGTTGTTCAGGTTTACATGAGGTAGTGGTGTAATCAAACTCTGAACTTCTCCCCTTTTAAGCGAGAAGCTCAGAATTCAAAAAGATAGTTTCTTTAGACATCGGCTTTCTCTTATTTTATACCCTTCTCAAAATTAATAATTACTTAAATAACCCACAAAAAACATAAAAACGATATTATAATAAATTATAAATCAAACCTTAATTTAAACAAAAATGTTGTAATGCATTTTTATTTATTATAAATGAACTATAATAACTCAAAATAATATTCCAAATTCTTACAACATGCTCAGACACATTTATAGTAAATTGATACTTCTGTTTAAAATAGCTAAAATAATGCTATAAAATTAGATGATAATAGCTAAAATGATAATTATATATAAGATTATAAAAGCTAAAATATTAATTAGATGAAATATCTCAGAAAACGACTTATATGACTTATAAATATGACTTTTATACTTCCTTTATCAGCAAAACCATATCTTTTAGCTTGAACCATATAATTAGGAAAGCGAGATAAAAAAATATTTTCTTTTACTTTGGCATTAACACATGTTTGAGTGTGTAAATATATGTTCCTAAGTATAACTTGGCATCTAGCTATCATTGAACACCTAAGGTTTTGTACACTGCATAAGCTGTGATTTGCTACATATTCTTTAAAAGCAATGTATGCCATAAACACACAGCACATTTTAAAATAATTTAAATGCTGGAGAGCCTGTCATACACAGCGTAAATCAATACGTTCGTGCTTTTAAAATAACAAACTTTTATATCCTGATTTAAAATTTAAAAAATTCTTAACTACCAGAGTACCAACAATTTTTATGACAGGTGAGACTCCAAACAACGTGTAAAAACAGGGACTCCTGGACTTCCGACTCTGGACTTCGACTTAGCATCTGATTAGACATTAAGATTATATTAGATTAATCTTAATGTCTAATCAGTGACTTTAAAAATAAACTTCAACTTGTCAGTTCACAAAACTCCCAGAGTGACACTGAAATATTTACTATTTTTTTGGAAATGTAAGTCTTTGGCCTTGATGGATCTTTAAAAGGAATAGTTTCTTGCATGGAATTCTTGCTCCACTCTCTTTCAATTGATTTCCAATGATACATGCACTCACTTGTATTCCAAATTCTTTTTAAAAAAGGTTCTTTTTCAGTTTTTTATAACTATCTTGACAATATGCTTCGATCTGGATCTTGGCTGATTTTTCACATATCTTTTCACATATATAATTTTTTACTTTTAACCAGATTGCAGATGGTTCCTAATGCCATTTCAGTTGCTTTTTTTACCAACTTAAAAGTTTTACCTTTTTTTGCTTCAACAAATCAAATTGTGCTGAGCTTGTGATCATTCCTTAACTCTCACAATTGATGATATCAATAATAAATCAAATCAAAAAAAATTTTAAACTATTGATTAAAAACCTTTTTTAAATAATCATCTTTAAACCTTCATTAAGAGTCTCGTACCAGATGGCACTAACCTTCTTAAGGAGTCATTAAACTTTAATGACTTCAAATTTATAGCGCAGACTTTTTTAGTTATTTAAAATTGTGATTAAATTGCTTTCAAAATAATTATAACAGAATTTATCAAAACTTTATTTTTTTATGAAACAACCAGAAAAAGTTTATTTTCTCAATAACATTTTTTGTAAACTAATTTTTCTGACTAATATTTCTCTGAATGCAATATAATAATACAATAAATTAATAATAATAGCAATGGATTTTATCAGTGTTATGGAGTCCCAAAAAGACTCCAACTTTAAATCTTTATTTTTTGCTTGGTCTCTGGTGTCAAGGAGCTCTAAAAGTGTTAGGTTACTTATGAGCTGCAATAAGAAAAAAATTAATATTTATGTAAAAAAATGGAAAAATATGCATCAAAGGACTAGGCCGAGCTGTCAAACCCAAGTAAAATAAGGAAAAAATTAGGAACAGAGAAAAGATAAAAAAATAAAATTAAAAAGATATTATGAACAGATGTTCAGAGCAAAACAAAGATACTAAAGTAAAGTGTATATTAAAAAAATAATAATGATAATTTAGACATCGCACATGTAATAGAAATTATAAACTCAGATTCTAAATGGAAAATCATAACCAACGCGCAAGGTATAAAAAACTTAAAGTTAAACATAATACGCTTAGTGCAGGAATTGAACCTGGAACTCAAAGATTACCAAGTCGACACTCTAACCAATCAAATTAATAGTATTAGCAATGGATTTTATCAGGGTTATGGAGTCCCAAAAAGACTCCAACTTTAAATCTTTATTTTTTTGGTCTCTGGTGTCCAGGAGCTCCAAATATTGTTAGGTGACTTATGATCTGCAATAAGAAAAAAATTAATGATATGTAATGACTTCAAACATATTTTTTTAGCTTCGAGTCCCAGAGTACAAAATGACTGTGGGGTCAAAATTTGACTGTTTTTTTAATCTAAAAGTCTTCCCAAAAGTAGTCCATTAGTCTCTTGACATTTTTTGAGCTCTTAGATACCAAAAAAAGGAAGAAATGTGACTTTCAAATCTGAAAATCAAAAGTGTCTTTTTTGGGACTCTGTTGATTGTATGATTTCCACGAGAGATTAGTAGTGAAAACATAAAGCAGGGTTCAGTAAGAGCATTGCTATACATCCAGAATAGGGCAACTTAAAGCCTTATTCTGCTAATGAGGTGAGCTCACATTTAAAATTGATTGCTAGTTTTATGCTATAAAAAGTGATGACTTTTTGATAGCAAATTTTGTCTAGTCTTTAGTATATAAATGTGTCATAAGGAAATAGAGCCACAATATAGGTAAGTTTATCAGGAAGATCATCTAAATATTAATACTCCAGTTAATGTTTAATGCGCTTAGTTACTGATTATTAAGCTTAGTTACATATGTTATAACAAATGTAATTGGCTAAAAAAGTATCTTCTATTGTGTAACTGGCTAAATACTTCTAACTTAATGTACTTAGTGACAATTATTAGTTAACTGACGTCAAATTAAATTGTTTTAAATTTTTGATTTAATATCGAGAAATACAGGTAATATATTTAATTTAAAACTATTATTTTAATTGTTTAAATTGTTTGTTTTTTTTATTTTACAAACTTTTTTTTAATTTTAAAAACTCGATTCATTTAAATTAAATTTATTTAAAATATTGAATATTACATCTTATATAGGGCTACATGCCTATGGAGTAGCTATGTAGTACCTATATAGCAGGAAATGTAGTATCATTTTGTTTAACAGATATGTATTGGGCAGGTAGCCCCTGGGTTATGTAGTATCTATGTATTCAACATTCTTGAAAGTGTTTTATGAATCAATCAGCCTTTATTATAAAAAAACATTTAAATATAACTATTTGATAGATGAAATCAACAGTATGAGTGTTTTATCTGCTACAGCCATATGGACTGCAAATTCATTCAGCCATATGGACTGCAAATTCATATACCCAATAGAAATTCATACAGCCATATGGACTGGAAATTCATTATATCTAAACATATTTTAAATGCAATTTATAGTTTATTTACAACAACTTTCCATTATATGTTTGCATTAACAACATTCCATTTGATAAGGAAGTAATTTTTTTGGTAGAGAGGGCTGAAGTTGTAGACGCATGTATAAAATGTTCACTACATAGGCAATAGTTGCCAAAGTTTGTATTAACTGAAAAATTAAAGTACATGATGGGTAAGGAGAGTTTTTACAATGGCTAGTAAATACAGTAGTGGATTAATACCTGTCAAAAAGGAAGATTCTTTTAAAGAGTGTATTGAAACACCAAATGAGTACATCAATAGAGAAACAGCCTAATTGTTAATGAGATATTTGAAGATAATGAATGAGATGATTATGCTAAATGAGTTATTTTAACACTCACTAATGTGGATTCACTGACAATTAATAACAAGTGCTGGAACGTTTACCTGGAAATCAATGCATTTTTGAGTGCAGATTAAATTGATAAGACCCTAATAAAAGAAACAACTTTCCTGTTTAGTGTTTGAACAACATTATTTTTACAGTAACGCCATTTCATTGTTTAAAATTTAAAATTGGTTGTGTAATTATGTTATTTAGAAATTTATTAAAATTTGCAACGGTACTTGAATGAAAATTTGTGCTTTTCAATAACTTTATTGATGCTGAGGTTTTAACAGTTCATCAGCCAAGAACCAAGAGGCTGTATGTCAGCATATTATGTATTTTCAGTTTATTATCAATAAATATTCAACAATTAATGGAGTATGTGTCTAATAAATCTAGTCTCAAGAATTAAAAATATTTAAAAATTAGTCTGACATTCTGGTTGAAAGTCTTTACAAATTAAATTTTAAAACTTGATTTTCTTGGAAACGCAAAAAATGGACATACAGCCTCTTGGTTCTCGGCTGACATGTTGTTTCTGGTGATAAACAGGTATTTGTTTATTGAGTTCCACTGACTATATCAGATTTTACTTTTTTTTTATTCTGAAAAGTTGTCAAACTTTTGATGAAATTAGTGTATATTAAAAAAAATTGAGTTTTAACTATATGTTGCATGTTTAAGAACAAGAGCGATAAACATCCCTTTCAAGGTATGATAGGCAAAAAATGTAGTACAAATAATGTTTTATTTTCTAATGTTCTGAAATTATTGTCTATGGTTTTTCATTTCGAAAACTCATAGTTCACGAGTTGGATTTTTTGCTAACTTTAGTTATTGTACTTATTAATTTATCATTTATACTTTTTATTAATATGAACATTATTTTAATGCATTAATTATCCAAAATTTGTACATTTTGATTTTTATAAGTACTAATATTATTCCAAATATTGAATATAAAATTCCGAAAGTTTGATTTATGAAATTACATAACTTTTGAATAATTCAATAAATAATATACAAAATATGTTTTATTTTCAAATATACCTAATTTATTAATGATTATTGTTTTACCATTAAACATATTTAAAAAAAATTTGAAAGTTTATTTAAGATATATTATAATCCATAACCAATCATGTAGAGCTAGAGCTAACCAATCATGTAGAGCTAGAGCTAACCAACCATGTAGAGCTAGAGCTAGGTCGTGAAATTAGCCAAGCAACTGTTTTATATTAACGTATATTATATATTATGTATATTATGTTTTTTAGTCATTACCTTACAATGATTGAAGAAAGCTTCAAACAAACTAATTCGCTCAACGCAAAATTATGTCAAAAGCAAGGCAAAATTTATAACAAATATTTTACGCAACATATTTTTCAGCATTTTAAAAATATAACCTGGATAACACTAACAGTAACCTTTTTTTTTTTTTTTTTATGTAATTAAATTTTGCTGCCATATCAAATAAAGATGGTTTCATTAAAAAAAAAACAGAAAGAAAGCATAACAAAATTTGTTGCTTTTTTAACTTTAAGTCTCAAAGCTTAAAGTTAAAAAAACAACAAATAGACAATAAAACTGAAGCTTCAATATTATAGGAGCCAAAATATTTATTTAAGCCAACTTTTAACATATCCACTTTGTTATGTTTATTATATTATATGTGCACATATATAATATAACACTCAAGAAATGCAAGAGAAAATGGTAAATAAAGATCGCTAATGAGGTTAAGATCATTATATTCTACAATTTTCTGTAATTTATCGAAATCAAATAAAGAATAGTTTGAGAAGTTTTACAGGTCCAAACTTTCTAGCTAATATAAATGAGGAACAACACAGGACTAAGGATGGAACTTTGCAGTATACCAGAAGTTATTGGAAATAAAATAGAGTGTTGTTCAGTTGTTAGACACATGATTAGATATTAGTTTGTAACTTGAAAACTCAAACAGGGCCTTAAAGACCTTGCTACAAGTAAAAAGTAGTAACATAAAAACTCAAAGACCTCGCTACTAAGTAAGCAGACTTACTGCATGACATTTACAGGGGGTCAAATCAATATCTAGAGTTTTTTTAAAATTGGAACCACAGAGGCCATTTTCCACTTGTTCAGTAGTTCAGAGAGTATAAAAAAGAGTTCTAGAGAAAACTTTTTGTTACTTGTTGTAACTAATACCTTGTTTTAAGACTGACAAGAATGTTGTTAGGACCTCAAGCTGTGAAAAGTTTAAGTAAGAAATAACTAAAAGCAATGAAGTATGTAATGTCAAACAATTGGTTAATTTTGTTCTTTGGAATAAGAGAAAGATCTTTAGGTACAATAGAAGAATTTTTTTCAAAAGAGTTTTTTTGAAAAAATTTGCTATATTCTTTGTATAAGTAATAGATTTAGACCCATGTATGAGAAATATTAGACTTGTTCTTATTAATGACACTTTTATTGAATTTGTATGAGTCTCTAAAACCAGTCTAGAAAAGTAAAAAAAGTCTAGTAATCTAAAAAATCTATTGTTGTTTATTAAACTTATAATTAACAATATTATTATACTATAATATTTTACAAATACACTATAGTAACTAAAACTTATGAAATACACTTCTTTAGGTTTAAATTTGGGTTCTGTATAATTTATAACTCTATTATTATAAATTATAACATAATATAACTTATTTGCTACCTGCATAATTTTATTAACTTGGTCATATAACTATAGTATTTACAGTAGTGTGGTAATTACAAGTTTTATTTATGTAGGTGTGTAAACGTTTTGCTTGTAATGGCTGAGTTGAAGTACTTATTAAAAGATTAAAATCATCATTAACTGTTTGTAACAAATAAAACCAAACAAAGATGAGCAGACAAAATCTAGCCCATAGATTTAAGGTTAATATTTTTACTATTACATACCGTTGTGGAATGTAAAACATTTCTTCCACAGGAGGCACGCATAAACTTCCACCAAAAACCGGCCACAAAGCACTCAAGATGCGAAATAACGAACTTTTACCACAACCATTAGGACCAGTTATTAGAAAATGCATACCTTGAACGATCTTAAAAAAATAAAACTTGAAAAAGTGTTAAGCCTCCAAAATTATAAAAATAAAAATTAATTAAAATAATATTACAATGCTTTTGCAAACGCATTTATAAGACTACTCTTGAAAGCAGAAAGAATCTGATATAATTAAATCTGAAATAATTTAAAGTTTTAAATTAAAAGCAGAACTTTGAAATGATAAAAATAAAATATGTTCTTAAACAACTTTTTAAATTATTCATTATTCATTATTATCACTAATATTCATTATTTAAGAGACAAATTTTCGCCACAATAATTCATAAATATTCAGTAATTAAAAATATTTAATTCAAATTTTTAAATAGCAAATAAAGTTGCTTATTTTGCTTTTATCAATTTTAGATGATTTGAATCACTTTAATGAGCTTTTAATAAAAAGGATATAAATGATTAATCAGACAAGTTATATAAACTATATTTATATTTAATTAATAACATTTATTTCATTTATTTGATTATATAAAAAATTACATTTATGTAAGTTGATTAAAAAAACTCAGTCATTTGCATAGGTCATTCATTCAAAAAAAACAAGTTATTTGCAAGCTCATTCATTCAAAAGTTAAATATTTTTCTCTGTGTGATTGTTATTTAATTTTTAAATCTAATTTTTTTATAATTTGTTCTTATTTAAAACTGTTTATTTACATTTTTACGGCTATTTATCTTAAGAAAATTATATATACTTTGATTATATAATTAAAGTTTTTTTTTAAAAAGAGGAACAGGGGGGGGGGGGAGGAAACAGCACATTTTGTTTTAGAAGCTGTAGGCAAAAGGTAAAAATACAAAATGCAAAAAAAAATATGCCTCCAAAAACTTTTTTCTAGAAGAAAGTTTTTGGAGGCATCATGCCC